TATCACACACTTGGATATGTCAAAGATTAGCAACAACATTTATTTTGGTGGATTATTAGCTTTTGCACAGAATCAGATTGAACAAAAAACTCACACATTAGCCACTCCCATTATAACCACATCTTTTGATCTCTCCGCCATACCGGTATAAAATCATGCATTTTGTAATGTCAGAGTTTTATTTTGGAGGAAAATAGTTCAATTTGTCCTTTTTATTCTATATCACCAGATGTGACATTTTACCATTGAATTACATGCTTGTCATTTCTTGGTTTCTTTGCCTGTTGTATAATGCGGCCCTGACAGCCATTGGAATACATGTATGAAACTAATATGATGTAGGTGTGTTGGTATGGATGTGGAAGAGTAGTATCAGCTGAGAAATGTGAGTGTGTATTTTGCAGTGGACATCTTTGTCTCGAATGACTAATTTGCGTAGTCCAATCGAATGATACCGGAGGGTTAATAATGTTTTATTAAGCTTAGTGGTTTTGTTATAGTTTGCTTTCTATTAAGAGAGCTTAAGCTGCCGGATTCTTGACCTCTACTGACACATTTCATTTTTATTATCCGTCTTTAATGAAGTCTTATTTGTCTGCATATAAAAGGATAAGATGATATAAAGCTCAGTAGATACTACATTCAGCTCATCCTCACCTCCTCTTTCTTCTGTTCATCAGTCTTCTCCTCCAGGTAGAAAGATGAGGGCATGTATTTCTTAACTGGAGCTTCTTTGGGCGCCTCACTCACTGCAATAGAAAACCACACATTGATAAGGGTCTTCCACCATGTAGAGAGACTTGTTAGACAAGGGGACATGGTTTTTATACTGTAAGTCTGTGTCCTCACCTGGGGTCATGTCTTTGGGCTTTAGGCTGATCTTCTTGTGTTGGCCGTTGGATCCAGACAGCCAGGCAGAGGCGGTCAGAGCTGCTTCCCAACAGACGGCTGTCTCTGTGTACACATCGTCCTGGAAAAACTCTTTCTGCAGACCGAAAAGTCACACACATAGAGTTAGTCATACATTCTATCATTTAAGCAATAACCATTTATAAGAAACAACCACCAGGAGGGGAAATAATGCAGTGTTAATCCACTAGGCGGTGTAGTTGTCTCACCTTGACCCGTGGCACTCTGAAGGCCACCGGCTCTATGGTGGTCTTGTTGAGCAGCAGTCCTACAGCGATCTCCACATCACGCACGTTACACTCCTTCTTTGGCAGGAAAGCCAAACCCTGCAAACAGGAAACAATCAGGAAGTGAAGTTTGGCATCGCACGCAATATTACAAAAGTTCTTTCAGTCAGTCTTCATTTTCTGTTAAAGCTGCTCAGCAATGGAACTCAATCCCATCTCCAATCAGAGGCCAGACCACATTCATTTTATTTAAATCAAAACTCAAAATATGGTTAGTGAGGAATCAGCTCTGCCAACACTGACCCAATCTTCTGCTCCTTACAACCCACTGCCTGTGTTTTAACATGTTCTTTTGTTTTGTTTTAATGTTCTGTATTTTAAATTGTTTTATGTAAGTATCCCAGTAATGTATGTTGCATGTTTTAAATGTATTGTATTTACTTGTTTAAAATGAAATGTGTTTTAGGTTGACTTTTAAAATCTGTCCAGGGACTACAGATGAAAAATAGCCTCTTGGCTAACTCTGGCACATTTACAGAAATATTCGTCAATGTGCACTGTCCCTGTTAAATAAATGAATAAATAAATAAAAATCAAATTACAAACATGGCATGGTTTAAAGAAGGGTATTAACCATCATATGCAGATGTATTGTGTCGGACAGATACACTAGAATGAAAGATTAGGAGTTGAGCTCATCACCTTGTGTGGCTCCGGAGAGTTAAAACTGCTGCACTCCATAAAGTACGGCTCTTCAGGGACCACCTCGTAAATGTGCACTCTGGTATCACCCTGTAAAAAGATAAACACACATGTTACATCTCATTCTTGTGTTTTTAGATTTTAAAATGAACTTTGTATATAACTATATTTAGTTTGCTTACCTTTGCAGTGAGGATGACCACGCTGGTGTCGGGGTCGTAGAAAGGGATGAGAGTAGAGGGGGAGATGGATATAGAGGTGCTGGCTACAGCTCCAGAGGACAGGGAGTCAGCAGAGTACAGGCAGAGGACTCGCTCACTGCGGCTGAGGGAGGACAACAGGAAGGAGTCAGTAAATATATATATTATGTGTGTATTTTTGTTTGCTTTATGACACAAAGACTTTGCCATGTGCAGTACCTGTCAAATCCTGACACCAAGAGGTACTTGCCCTCACACACCCAGACTGCACGAGCCCCCCTGTGGCCCTCAGGACCCGGGCCCTCCTGAAAGAGAGGGTTAGAGAATACATTATATTAGTTTATGACACACAAAAACCTTTACCACTGCAATGCATTGCTTCCTTGTTGCCAAAGCCTCTAAGACATTCTTAGCTACTTTAGATTCATTTTATAGGCATCTTACTGTTTTTGCAATATATTACCACATTAATGACAAACAAAAAAACTAATCTGAACTAAAATAGCTTTTAAATAATGACAAAACAATGTTTATCCACCTATTAGCATGGATCTAAATAGTGGCATAAAATACTTGAGTTTTTTAGAATGACATTTGAAAAATGTGCAAATATATGTATGCCTAGAGCTGCAGAGTAAAAGTGTGTTTCACCATTTTCACAATACTCATTTAATGTCATTTAAATGTTACTCTCATATCATCTCCAATGTGTAGTACATACCTGAACAGGTGCAGTTGACTTGCGAGGGTCATAGATGCGAACTTTCCCGTCTTTGCACACTGTGGCCAGGAGCTTTCCATCTGGGCTCCACGCCATGGCGAAGATCTGAACAAATTAAGAGTAAACAAGAAAGAAGAAGGTCAGAGTTGATCTAGTAACTAATTACATCTGTTGCATTTTGCTTATTGAGTTTTGTTTTCCAAGATGAGGTCAAGGCGTGAATCTCGGTCCCCCACCTGGTCTTGGTGTCCGGTGAGGAGCTTGACCTGCTCTCCGCTCTCCAGGTTCCACAGTCTGACTGAGAGATCGTAGGATGAAGAGGCCAGGAGACCGCTGGCCAGAGGGTGGAACTTGATGGAGTAAATCTTCTCCGTGTGGCCTATGAGGGGTCACAGGAACTGTCAATCAACTTTTAACTGTTGTATGTCTGGCCTGACAATCAACAACCAATTATAGATACAACTAGTTTCAGTAAGTCCTACCTTGCATGATGACCTCAGGCTCGGTCAGGGTCTCTTTCAGCCCCCCCTCTGGTACCTGCCACACCCGGATCTTTGCATCATCACACGCTAGCATGGACAGAGAGACACATGTCCAATTAAACTCCCACACAACAGGCAATAAAACAACAAAGTAATACAACTACCTCAATCCAGCAATAGAAAGTACATGCATGTACCCATTCCAATTACTTTATTCATTATTTCTTACTACTAAAAGGAAATCCTTCAAAATGAATTCCTTATCTATTATATTTTAATTTTTTTAATGACTACAGTGCATTGTTTTGGGTTTTATTAAATAAACAAAAAAATCAATCAATCGTTTCACTCACCCACGGCAAGCCGGTGTGTGTTAAAGGGGTCCCAGGAGAGGTCGACCACATTCACTGAGTTTTGGATGGTTGGCAGGGCTGTGTCAGGAATCCTGCCAGGCTGAGAGCGCTGAGGGGAGAAGAGGGAACACAATCACTCATAAACGTACGGTAGACATTGGCCACATTTTCTAAAGTAGTTGAAGTACAAAGAAAGAGAGACACTCAACATGGAGACCAATCACTGTTTTTGAATGTAATCTTAAAGGGGATCTATCATGCAAAATGATAGATGATTTTTTTTAAAGCTTTCCCCCGAATCAGCACTTTAGTAACAGGGCTGAAACGGAGGGATATGAGGCATGGCTAGAATGGGTGATCTGTTTGGTATTTTGAGCAAAACACTTCATAGACATGTGTTTTATATATTTGTATATATCTGAGACCTATGTTATTGCCTAAAAACAGCATGATAGGTGACCCTTTAAGTTGATGCCGTACCTCAAAGATGCCGATCTGGCCCCCGGAGATGGCGAGGGGCACCGCCATGCGTTGGCTGTTCACACAGAAGCCGTCAGACTCCCCGGGTGTGGTCAGGTTGAGGCCACGCAGGTTGGTGATGTGTGTGTCCCGGTGCATCATCGCACCCTGGATGTGACGGAACTTGGAGGTCGTCCCTGAATCAGAATTCATTCTCAATTCTCACTTAAATACATTATTATTAACAAACCACGATAAAGATATATATTAGGTGTGTGTGTGAGTTTATACCCAGCATGCTCTGGATGGCCTTGGTGCTCTGGCTGGGACTGGGGCTGGGCAGGAAGCCTGAGGAGAGTCCGGAGGTGGAGGATGGGGAGCGGGACGGGGCGCTGCTGCTGGGGGTGCTCAGAGGACTGCTGGAGGTGGAGCCACGTGCCGGGTCCTGGAGAACAGCAGAACGGCTGTTAACTTGTCACATCAAAAAGGATTACCCCCAACTTGAGAGTGTGATTATCTATAAATACCGTTATTTCTAAAGTATAGTGAGTGAAACCTTAATGGTCAAATGCAAGACATTATAATAAAAAAAAATGTCTACCTCCTTGCTCCCCCCGCTGATCAGCTCCTTCTTTGCTGCCACCTGTTTTGCGGGCGGAGCTTTTAGTTTGGGCTGTTTGTCTGGGTTGAGGCTGACTTTCTCCACCTGAGGACAAACGGAAGGTAAACAGATAAAAGGTAAAACAATCCCATACTGGGAAAATGCACAAGTTTGGTAAATAATAATAATAACAAAACAAAACATAGCTATAAATGCTAAATATACCTTTTACTAACACAGATTTGTACATCATGGATAGTTGTTTTTAAAATAAATGTAATATAAAGAAGAGAACAGACATTAAGATTAGGGAATTGTTTGAGGCGTGTTGAGAGTGAAGCTCTCTTACCTGCTTGTTCCCTCCCTTCCACCACTCCTCAGCAGACATGGCTGGAGTTGTGCCGACTGTATCTGGATAAAGATCGTCATGAAACTCCTGGCCTGTGTGCTGGAAAACAATGCAGCACCGAAACAAAGATCAATATCACTTATTAATGTTATCAATCGGCTCTATGTGTTGGTCATTTCTCTGCTCACACACCTTGCGGGGGACTTGGTAGCTGATTGGCACGATGCAATTGTCCGTCAGCTGAAGCACTTGCATCACCTCGCAGGACAAGACATCCAACGCCAGCTTGGGTACCATGGCAACTCCTCGCGTTGACATGTCAGTCAGACAGTGGCTCACTACAGAAATAAAATGTACATACAAGAAAGAAAGACAGGAATCAGACACCTGCAGGGAACACTGTTATCATCTGAATGTTTTGATGCTTTACCTTGAGAGAGGAAAGGCTCAGAGGTAGAAACTTCAAAGCAATCCACCGCAGAGTCCCCCTGTACGAGAACACATCATTAAATCATACACTGTGCTGCACAGCATGACATATTGACAAAGTGATAGTAAATCAGAGACATAAATAAGTTCACGTCCTGAGGTAAAATATGTATTGCAGTATTGCAGTTGACCTTCAAATTATACAGACTGCTGAACTCCTGATTTGTGACTTGACTACACAAAACCTTTCAGACATAAATAATAAATATCTAACCCATTCCTCAAAGTTTTTTGAAATGCCAAAAACGACAGGTGTTATTCTGTAACTCACCGTGCCAGCCAGTACAAGCAGACCAGTGTCATCATCGTACAGAGGGATCACCATCCTGAAAGCAAAGAGACAAGAGATGTTCAATGGATGTTCACAAACAGCACATTGATGTAAAAGCACACATTCTGTTACATTCTAATACTGTATGTCAGAGGGTCTGTAAGGCTGAAGTTTTACAAAGGTGCCACTAGATGGAGCAGTGTACCCAATTTTAGGGCAACAAGTTAAATGTTTTTTTTCCCACTGGTCTTTAATTGCAGGTTTGGAAAACAGTTGGCAGTTAAACAAATGCAGAATCAAACTCAGTCACACTTCACTCATTCATTTTCCTTATTGGCTATCATTTTCACAATACAATCTAAAATGGTTATTATCAAAGACAGTTGCTAAAACCTCTGAGGAATAGGTTTTAAGATGGATACATGGTCGTGGATAAAAAGAGTGAAGGCAAACCAAAAAATAGCTTTTTCTTACTACTTAAACTACTCTGAATGTCTTTTATTAATTGATGCATTGTAGTCCAGAAAAGGATAACAATCCCATCATAGTTTCCTTAAGCCAAAGGTGACAGATTCAATGCATTGACAAAGAAACAAAGGCAACTCAATGAGAGAATGGTCTGCTTAATAAATAACACAAACGATTTTTTAAATAGCAATATTGTAGCTGACCATTTTCTGTTGATCAAGCTCTAGATCCAGCATCCCCTTACAAAGCCACGGTCACCTGTCTCCTCTTGGGATTTGAGGTAAGGGGATTGGGGGATAAGGAAACTGAATGAGCTTTAAACTCAATGGGGGGACGCACGACTGGCCGCAGAAAACAATCCAAACAGGAAATAATGGCTTAAACAGAGGCATTCTTGCACAAACACTGACAAATCCTCTCCTTCATACTGTAAGTCTCTCAGTGTATCCACAGTCAGCATGCTGTGTTGTTTCGCAGACAGGAAAAAAGGACAGCATAGCGACTGATCGGACCACTCCACATCCCATACGGGCTCATTGAAGTGGAGAGGAAGTTCCAGTGATTGGCTTATGATGACGACCTTGTGTAATGCTGCTATTCTAGAGAGTGACAGACTGGTGATGTAATGCTCCAAGTATGACAATATAATGACAGACTTCACTTGGGTATCTTAAGCAACTGGCATGGTGACACGCAATGCTGTTTACTGTGTACAGGAGTGACAGACAGAGGGAGTGTGTGTCTGTGTGTTAGCAGTGGATTTGAATGAAAACAGAGGAAGATTTTCCAACGAACGTACACAAGTTCAGGGTCACTGTCAGACACTGAAAACCGGTCTGCCACGAGTTTGTGGTTTAATAACTCACATCCTTTTGTTGGGTTGAGAGATGTTTCCACACTACAATGAGAAGAATCTCCATATCGTTTTCATTTGAATCTTTTGATTCAAGAAACAACTGAACGTGTGTCAAGACTGGGAAAGCAAAAACACGTTTGGTTCACTAACCTATCAAGTGGAAATGGTCTAGAGAAATGTAATATTACTTTGTTTACTGCATGTGGGCTAAAGGTATGTTTCATTTTTTTTGGGCAAAGTTTCAAAAGACTTTAAATATGAATTGTATTGATCTTACGAAAGGAAGAACAGACATATAGATATCTCTAAAGATGGGTAACTTCACATCTTTAACTTTGAATGCCATGTTATTGTTTTGCTCCAACCGAAATCTTTAGAGAACCATATTTTTCCAGGTGATGGGTTTTAAAGCTTTCTTTACACCATTGTACACGGCTCACCTGTGGAGTAACTACAAGGCTAGCAGCATGCAAAAACTAAAAGTTGCATACAATGATGCTTTACGGTTGCTGGTGAGGGTACCAAGATGGCACAGTGCCAGCCAGCTGTTTGTTAACTTGGGGGTACCTACCTTTCAAGCCCTTTTAACAAATGTAATGTACAAATTCATGTGTCGCCTACAAGAGTCAGACAATCATGCTATCTCAATTTTAATCAACCCTGTGAAGAGTTCTACTCGGTTCTCTTCCATGATTCGGAGACATTGGCACAACAGCCTCTACAGACTGTGAGCATACAGTGTATGTGTGGCTAGCTGTCATTGGACTGATTTTATGTTTTTTATTCGTTTTTTTTGTTTAGCTTTTTAATCTTATTTATTGTTGTGTATTTTCTCATTTTGTATGTGATATGGTTATATACAAATGCTGATGATATCCTTTTAACATTAGTTGACCCACTAAACTCTATACCTAAGGTGCTAGAGGTTATTAGAGAATTTAGCTTATTTTCAGGATATAAAAGAAATTGGAGTAAAAGTGAAGCCATGCCACTAACTTTCAGACTCACTCTAATCACTTAGGCTCTGCTCCTTTTGTTTGGAAAGCTGATGGATTGAGATACTTGGGCATAAACATCAGATCACTAATTAACAAGATGTTCGAAATGAATGGTCCAGGCTTACTTAGAACTATTGAAGATGACTTGAGAAGATGGACTTCTTTACCTCTATCGCTGTGGGGAAGGGTGGATGTGTTAAAAAATGAGTGTCCTACCAAGATTGACCTATATCCTCAATTCCCCTTCAAATCCCACAATATTGGTTTAAAGAAATAAACACTATATTCTCTCAATTCATATGGAAGGATAAATTCATATGGAAGGATAAAAAACGACAAATCAACCATNAGGCCTGAATCTTAAATGAGTAATCTGAAACTACTTCCATGACTTCCTCTGCAACCCCTCTCGCTGTTGCCCTCATATTTATGCATTGCATGAGAGTAATTGACTTTCGGTGGTGACTTTTGACTCGTGTTGTTTATAAACGACAAGTAAATATTGACTCCTCTAGCCAACAAGGACCTTATCTCCTATTACACACAATAAACGGCTTGAATAATGAGAATTCAGCAACCGTGAGTTCTCAAAAACATGACAACCGACACATTTATACTTATATTATCTTTCATATAATGCCAGATTCCCTATAGTATGGGGTTATGGAGCGACATAGATAAAAGCTAACTGGGATTGGCTGGAATGATTTCAGGTATATATAAACTTCTCCTCACCTCCACCACCAATACTAATCTGCAGACACAGAAAAGATGGGAGCAGGATTTAGGCATCACCCTTACCCCAGTTGAGTGGGACACAATCTGGTCGAACTCAACATCAATCTCCAAGTGTGTCCGGTTTAGAGTAATACAGTTAAAAATCCTTCACAGAGCATACATCACACCCTGTAGACTCAAAAAGGTGGATCAAACACTCTCGGGCCTAGGCTGGCATGGTTGTGCGGAAGTGGGTACCCTTTTACTTTGTCTTTGGTCCTGTCTGTCCGGCTGTAAAATCTCTATGGGACGTAGTTGGAGATCCTGAACATAGAGATACCCTTAACTCCAGCTACATGCTTGCTGGGATCCCCGCTCAATGGCATACAATCAAAATGTGCAAGTAAACTTATAGCCCTAGCACGCCTTTCAACTAAACGCCTCGTTCTTATGAACTGGAAAGTCAGAAAGCCCAACTGCTTCAATTTAAATAGATGGCTGGAGGACTTCCTAAACATCTTAAGTATGGAAGAAGCTGCTTTCGCCCTGTTATATTTGGTTAAGCCAGACAACAGGCTTTGGGATAAGAGAAGGGCTTTCCTGGACTCAAACCATCTCGGCTGCCAACAATAAATATAATAATATTAATAAATAAATATAAATAAAGAGAAATAAGCTATGAAGAAACAGAAAAATAACAGTAATAATAATGAAAGAAGTGAAATTAAATGGGAAATGGATGAATAGGTCAATTAATCAGAAAAGTAAGAGATGTGTATGTGTGTATATGAACATATGTGTGCATATATATATATATATTTATTTATTTGACTATTTATCTACCTATTAAAGAATGAAGTATACCTATATTATGAAGCAAATCATGTATAAATACAACGCCATATGCATACATAAAATGTAACTGAGACTGTAATGTCCCCCTACCCCCCACCTTCATGTTATTGTCCTGTCCTGTTTGTGATGTGTGCGAGCCGTGTCCTTGTCCGTATGTTTTTGTCTTTTGAAAATGTTTAATAAAATATAAATGTTAAAAAAAAATGTGTATGTGATATGGACCTTGAGTCTGAAATAAAGATTGAATATCAGTCATTTATTTTGAAAAGTTTTTCTTCTTCCAAAATGGCTTTCTTACCTGTAAACAGACCATAAGGAAGAAGTGGCTGCCTGGCTCGAATCTCAAATGACCATCACAAACTTAGACAGGATCAGGTTCAATGTGATTATCAGTAATATTAGAGAATGTTTACAAAAAGACATCTCTTTCCATGGCATTTAGCCAATGCTAAAGCCGACTTGTTATCAATGGGCCTCTTTTCCTGTTTTTCTCTTTTCTACCTTTATAGTGGGCATTTTTTTAATCTTTGATCTATGACCAAAATTGACCTGTACCCCCTGTTCTCTCTAATACCCGTCTCTCCCCCCGTCTATCCCAGGCCTATGAAGTCAGCGAGGGGTGGCCACGCTTCGTTAGGGCGACTGTGTGTTCCCATGTCGGAGTCAGTCCACAGGGAGTCCCTAAACACCTCCATTCCCACACCCCTCTGTGCCTCCTGTCTCCCTCTCCTTCCCCCCTTCTCTCATTTCCTCTTCAACAACACCACCACCTTTCCCCCCGCAGTCTCTTTGTGCCTCCAATCCAAAATTGGTACTTCTGAATTGCCGATACTTTCTCTCGGGCCTTATCTCTGCTTTTCTCACAGTAAACGTACAACAAGTCAAACAGCCACATAATAGGAGCAGAGCTTTATCACTGATAATGGTCTCTGTTTACTTCGCTTTCACGCTCCAGCTCACTACCAGCCCATTTTCCCACACGAAAAAAAACAGGCACAACGCATGCATGTGCATATTTATACCGGAAAAACACAAACATACATGTGCTTAAAAGGCAGCTTAGTGATGTATGTGCGCATGCATTAATAAGAGAGGAAAGAGCCAGCAGGCTTGTTGCGCAAATCCAAATAACATGGGCTGATTTACAATGAAAAGAAAAAC